GAGGGTCTATTCCAAGTGTTTCCAATTGTAAAGGTTGTAGATTGGTGGGAGGCTGATATGAGGCCTAAGCAGGTAGATATCTTGATAAAAGACTGCAGATGGATCCACTTGAGGGGAAAAGACCATGAGAGATTCCAGAGGTTAGGAAAGTAGTTGCTTTCTTCTGTACTTTTCTCTGGGATGCAGATTTTCACTGCCTTCAGATCTATTGAATTATTCTTAATGCTGTAGGTATTGATCACCACCTATAATTATCACAAAGGATTAGTACTTCTCAATCTTATTTACCGCTATTTGTATATCAGACAATTGAGAGAGGTGTGGTTCAGTGATAGTTTCATTCTGGGGCTTGGACTCAGGAAGCCATATTTCTAACATCAGCTCTGATCCTGATTCCCTCTGGTCTTGGGCATGTTACTTCATTATTCTGCTTCAGTTTCTCCATCTGTAACATAGGGAGGACAATATATAGCTATCATAAAGGTAGTTGTGAGGATTAATGACTGATAAGGAATTTGAATATAAAGTGTTATAGAAATCAAGCTATTAATACTATTCCTAAAATGACACAGACTGAAGAGATGTTGGGAACTGATAGGACATTGAATTGGCCCTTAAGAGAAAAGGTAAGGTGTGGGTCTGAAAAACTAATTCATTCCTCTTGACTCCCTCAGAAGAATATTGCAAAAATCTCTTGCCTTTTGCTGAGGTTCTTGGATAACCATAAAGCATCAGGATATTGTTAGTGTGAGGATATATTGTTAGTGTAAAAGCTACTGACTTTATTTTAAGCAAGTAAAGATCAAAGAAGACTTGCTCAAACAAAGAAGACTTGCTCAAACTCTGATCAACACTTTTGCAGAGAGAAAAGTTTTGAGTTCTCTCTGCTCTTCAAAGCACTAAACCTCAGTCTCTCAGATCCCCAAAAGATTCTGTATCTATAGTATATTAACCCAGGAATAATCTTCCTCTTGCATACTATTTTATGAAACTGGCTACATAAATGTATATATTTGTTTATATAATGTAACACTTGAACAGAGTAGGCTCTGCCAATGCTAACACCACCACTTCATTGTTAGTGGGTGTCACTAGCTTTTATTTACCCTGTTTTGTGTTGTCGATTTTATACTCACTAATAAATAACTAAATAATATTAGTGATTTTTGTGAAATCTTATACCAGCTCTAAATCCTTATGAATGCTCTGAAAATGAGCCAGCAGGAACTGATAAAAGAATGTACAACAGCAGACCTCTTCTACTAATGGCAAATCATGTCACCTCTTGGATATAGTCGACTGCATCAAGAAAAAAAGCTTTTTACAACTATGACCATCCAGAGTTCTGGGTGCATGTAGAAGAATTATATAATAAAACATACAAATTAGGACACAAACCAATCCGAACTATCCAGATAAAACTCACTCAGTCCACAATTCCAGAAAAACATGGGGAATGGCGGGGGTGGCAGGGGAATATATGAGCTTAACAAATTCAGGTTTTGATGAACCAGTGTGAGGAAGCAGGTTCCAAAACTGAGGTGGATTCTCTGGAAATGCTCTCTGCAATCAATCTAGCTTATATTATGCCTATTACCATACTATCTGAGTGCCTTATCACCCATTCCCCTCCCTTTTAAATCCAGGAGTTAGTAGTTTAAGCAACTGAGAATATTTCAACAGTTATGATATCACACAATTATAGAGCTATTGTCATCTGCAAATTGAAAGCACTGCAGCCTCAGATTGTGTCACTATATATTCTGATTGTCTCACAAGCATGTTGAACAGGAGGAGCCCTGTGGTACCCTCCAAAAGAGGGATTCTTGGGGCAGTGCTACCATGTGGATTCTTTCAGAGATAAAAGAATGGAGCCACTCAAGCCACTCTATGCTTGCCAAGAACTACAGCCTTGTGGTCACTGGTATCAAAGGCAACTGAGAGATCTCAAAGAATCTGCATGGACATTTGATTACCTCAAACAGGCTATAATTGACCAGTGAGACCAGTGTTGTCTGTGAGCAGGGCCGGCTCCAGGCACCAGCTTAACAAGCAGGTGCTTGGGGCGGCCAAGGGAGAGGGGCGGCACCTGTGGCAATTCGGGGGCGGCAGGTCCCTCACTGCCTCTAGGAGCGAAGGACCTGCCGCTGAACTGCTGGAGCCGACCCTGTCTGTGAGCCATATCCAGAACTAAAACATGGTTGACTTTCAAGACCCTTGACCTTGTTGTGGTGGCACGTCGCACTTTCAGAATGGTTATAGCCATCAAAGAGAAGCAAAAGTGTCTGTACTTTGTCTCTGTAATATAATATATGGGGAGATTGAAAATAGAAGTGGTGAATGGATTTGAGGGTAAAAGTAGTAAGCTAACTGCCTGAGAGTCATAGAAAAGTTAGAAATTATAATAAACAGGTTGGGGAGCTTCATAAAGCAGGGATCCAGACAGTAATAAATTGTATGATTTGTGAGTTAGTAAATGTATGGTATAAGTAGGGCAATATAACATTTGTCAAGGCCAGAAGCTGAACACTTCAAGGCTGTACACGGCTCTGCTCCTGCATTCTTCTAGGCCAAGATTTTCAAAAGTGACTAGCAATTTTGGAGGTCTCCATTTTTTGGATACTCAACTCGAGGCACCTTACAGGGGTTCCGATTGTCAGAAAGTGCTGAGCACTAACCCTAGTCTTTTATTTCCTACTGCTATCAACATCAGGGCCTTCCCTCTGCCTTCACCTTCAGTTTACGTCCTCCTACATTTACTGCCATGCTTCCTTACATAACTGCCCTGTATACCTGGAATGACCTCTCTCATCCACATCATTCAGGCTACTTTCCTCCTTCATATCCCTCCATCAAACACTGTGGTGCGTATGTTAAACAGACGATTTCTTGGCTTTCTGTTGTGCAACACTATTCCTTGCTTTTCCACTTCCTTGACTACATCCTGTCTCCCTATGCCTTGCTTCCCTTAGATTGTAAGATGCACAGGGCAGGGATTTGTCTTTCTGTGTCTTTAAAGCACCATGCACATCTCTGTGTTAACATTAGACAAGGCAGTACAGTATTGTGATGTCTTTGTGTTTATAATAAATAGACAGCATAAAGATTACGTTCACTATTAAATGTGTTCAAAATTTTAAGATTAATAGTCATGCTCTACCCAGTGTCCAGGAACATACCCATACATCTGAAAACGAAGCTGAACCTGTCAGTTTAATGTGACTGAGAGCTGAAGGCTAGATTTAAACTCTCCTTGAAAGGCCAGTGTTTTATCCATCAAACCACCCATCTTCTAAATCATCTATTAACCTTAATGAAAATAAATTTTAATTTAATTTTTTGGGGGGTGCAGTAGGGTAAAGTTTTAAAATCTGAAAAATTAAAATAGATGGATATCCTGGTGAAGGGACCTACATGCATGAAGTGAGAGTAAGAAGCGGTCAACTGCCTGTGAATTATTTTTACGATAATGTAATAGATCAGGTTAAGCACACAAAACCCCATAATTCTTGGCCACTGTGTCACTTTGATATTCTATTATGTACAGTGTTCAGCTTTGATCAGCTCACCTAGAGAATAATTTACAGTAGCAGAGACCGTCAAAGTCTTGAAGGGCAACAAAACAGTTTAGAGGTACGCAGGATTTACATATGAAGTCAGATTGTTGATGTTCTTTAGCCTGAAGAGAGAGAATAGGTGGTGTACAAAATAGTGAAGGGTATAGTGAAGACACTCAACAAAGGAACACCAGTGGCACTAAAGAGCAGTCTCTTTAAAATACATACCTTCTAAAGTAGTACTTTCATCTATGTAGTTAACCTGAACCAGTAAATTCACTGCCGAGGAGCTCATACAAATTCAGACTGGAAATAAGGTGTCCCTTTTTAACTGTAAGGGTAACTAACCATTGGTAATTTGGCAAGGGTTAGATTCTCTATCACTAGCACTTTTTAAATCAAGATCGGATGTTTTTCTAAAAGATAGGCTCACATGCAAATAGGAATTAATTCAGGGAAGTTTTATGGCCTTTGTTATGCAGGTCAGATTAGATGATCACAGTGGTCCTTTCTGGGCTTGTCTATGAATCTATACAGTAACGGACTGCATAATTTAAATTTTTCTTCAGACTTAATACATCTGTTTAGCATCTTGTTGTACTATGTATGCCAGGTAGTGCATGTAAAATAAAATATTTGGGGAATACACAGTGCTTACCCCAATTAGTAAAGATTAAGCACAGGACTTTTAAAAGATCCAAAGTGACTTAGGAGCATAAGGGAATGTCCTTAGTGGCACTTTTTATGATGATGTAAGTAACTTAGATGATTTTGAAATTTCCAGCCAAAGTATAAGAAGTTAAAAATAATAGAAAACAATGCAGACATACATAGCCCCTTTAAATTCACAGAGAAATTACCTTTGTAATTCAGTTCCTCATCCTCTGAATTGCACCAGAAGTCTCTGCTGCTCCCTGAAAAGAAAATGTATAGTATGGGAGTCCTGACTAAATTAGTAAAATACAATCTTTATTAACTTAGGGTTTTTTAATGTACTAGAACATTAACAAACTGAAACATAAAAAGTGGGGGGAAATGTACAAGATACTACATGTACCCAAGGTTGTGGAAAATAAATGTATTGCATTGCGATAGTGAGCTTGAAGACTTAATTGTTATGGATATACATGAGCAGAATTTAAGTTGCACATACAATCTTGACTTTGTTATTCCCAGACTTTTGAATATTTAAGCACGAAAACTTAACTTTCTTTCTCCATATTTTGTAGTATGGAATTCAAAGTTCTTTCTCACTTACCGAAGATGTAAAGCATATATTACCCATGCAACTGATGTGCGTTGTATTTTTCTTTAAATCTCCCAATTCAAGGAAATATTATGGACAGTTTCTTCTAATTGAATAGTCTAGCTAACTGGAAGTAGAGGGTTGCTTGTGAATTCTTATTATAGTAAACATTTTCTGATTTTTGTGTTCTTTTTCAGTTTGTTTTCTTTGTTGTCTAAAAAACACAACAAAGTTTTGGAGCAAGCCACGCAAACCTTGAGAGGTTCCCTCAGTTCAGATGACTCTCCACTTCCTGATTACGTGAGTATTGAATTTAATGTTTTAGTGAACTTCTCAAAATAGAAGCAGCAACATCCCTAAATCTGCAAAAGTTTATCAAAGTGTGTGACAATGAGGCAACCACCAACACCAAAATATAGGAACCTCTCAAAATGACATCATGTCTGAAACTTAGTAAGAAAATGAAAAATATACTTACAAATGGCAAAACAAACCACAGCTATTCAAAGCTAAGAAACCTTCCATAGCCTGTCAGCTTGCAATTTTCAAGACAGTTGCAATCAGATACATTTGGGAGATGTAGTTAAAACCATACTTGAAAAAAAAACAACTCTTTGGCATCTACCAATATTTTAAAAGGCCTAAAATATTATGCAGATCTGCTCTTGAAACAAACCCTAATACATCTTTGAAACAGCAGTGCCCAATATATGAATGAAGCTGTAGACCAAACTGGTGTTTTCTGAACATGCGTACACATACACTTCTAAGGATGGCTTCTCATCTGGTCTAAGCCAATATCTGCAGATGGGACAACAATTTGTAAATTGATTGTATGACTGTCAGAAAACTTCTTGTTTACTATACTGTTAATTTATACGACAAAGAAACTTCTTCCCAAGTCTTAAATGGTATTATATATACATTCTTTTCAAATGTCACTGGTTTATATTGGTTTACATTGTTGCATTTTATTTTATAAATCTGTGCAAAAATGTTTTTCCTAATTTATAAATTACTATGTGTTTGATCATGGAAATATAACCATATTTTACCTTGAGTTTTAGTAAGTGTTTCAGGAAACCAAACTCTGAGGGATTACAAACTGTACAACTCCATCTTCACATATTTCAAGCTTTTAAAAGATTATGTACCTTTTAGAAGATCTTTTATTATTATTATTATTTATTATTATTATTTGCATTATCTTAGAACCTAGGAGCTCCAGTCATGGACCAAAAAAAACATAGTCCCTGCCCTACAAACCCTAAGTATAAGACAAGAGACAACTGATGAATACAGACAGACTAATAGGGGAATACAAGGAAACAATATTGGTTAGCACGATAGGCTGTGGTCTCAACACACTAGCTAATATCTATTAAAACTATTACTTTTTATCTAACAGGCTATATTTTGGGGGCTCAAAATGGTTAATTTAACTAGCAACATCGCTTGACTTGCATATCCTGTGCAGAGTTGTTTATATGCAATACACAAACAATGCCATTTTGCTATTCAAAAGCAGAGTGCTGGCTAAGGTTATTGAATAAACAATCATCAGCATTTTTTCCAATTTAGTCTTGCCACCTGTGATGCCATATTTCACAGTAACTTCTTACAACACCAGTGATTTTATACTCTCTGATTTATGTCTGTTGTGCTTTTGAGAAGTAACACTCTAATCTTTAACATATCAACTGATTTGTAACTCAAAACATGGTGTTAAACAAACAAAACAAAAAGTCACCTCTTAACATAAGGAAAGAACCATATCATGTGTTTTATTAAAAGAGAATATAACATAAGTCTAAAAGCTCTTTCAGTTGGGTACGCATGGACAACCAGATGTCCTTTAGACTTTGCAAGGGTCTCAATGGGTTGGTGCTCTTCATACGTGGTACTCTTTCCTTTGGGTCAGTTCTGAACCCATGTCCCAGTGTGCTGTAAGGGGGCACTACACTGCTAGAGGTGCCATTTTAAACCATTCCGGAGCACTCATCGTTACACATCTCAGATAATTTTTCATAGGGGTAATTAACCTCAGTGCCTTGTCAAATTCCAACTTTGGGCAGTAAAGCTCTATATGTTCAAAGGCCTCTTTCAGTTACAGGAGTCTTCATGGCCCGTCCTAAAATCTTGAATAGAGTTGCTTTGACTGATTTCAGCCCAGAAGTGGCTGTGTTTCAAGTGGCAGTGGCACAATCAATCTCTAGCTATCAAACCTATCTCACTGAAATTTGGTGGCCTTTAAATAGCTAATGTATGTAAAGCACTTTGAGATATTTGAATGAAAATCTGTATAGAAGGACAAAATATTTTAACGCTTGCACACATTCTTAACCAATGAATGATAGCTGTAATGGCCTAATCTGGTTGCCTGGAAGGTGCTAACTGTGCCGTCATGGAAAAAGGTGCTGATTTTAAGAAGAGACCCCTGGAATTCTGTCCATCCCCCCCCTCCGCCCCAGATAGGGGGAAAGGGATGGTCATGTTTGGGGTCCTGGGGGATTACATCTAGTTTTTAAGATTAAAGATCTTTTTTATCTTTAGAATTCTCCCCCATGTTTTATGAAATAGTTAATTTTAGGTAGAAGTTGAAAAACTCACTAAGGAACAAAATTTAAATTGAAAAATAATTTTTTATTCTAATAAGTTGACATGCATCACTTGTGCATATTCAGTGCACATTTAGTCATGTTGGTTTTGTTCAGTGTCTACATTAATTTTAACGGCAATTATATGCAAAACTGGGATGGGGGCTTATGGCAGCAGGTGCTTTACTTGCTGCTTACTAGTATTTGGCCTTAGATGTTGAGTGGCAAGTTGAAGGCCTTTTGGAGCAGACTTCTGGAAGTGCCCAACACCCATAATTGGGGTCAGACTTCCAGAAGTTCTCAGCACTCAGAGGTAGCTAGCTGCTGAATTCTTTTGAAAATCTACCCCTTTATTTTCACACTAGCCAACTACCAGCACTGAGAATTTAAGCCACCGATCTTCTAGTTGGCTAGGTTATCCACGAACAGCCAAGGTAAATTGGTAACTGGCCACGTGGGGAAACTTCTGTAACTCAGTTGAGTTTAAAATTTGACATTTATATTTGGGAGGTAGAAAATAAGTGGCTGTTTCCCAAAGTGAACCCTAGAAATACATCCTTGTACACATACCAATTAGGTGCTGGAGTTCTAAATTGTCCCATCTTTGGGGATGTCGCCTAAATGTCATTTCAAAGGCAATTAAAAGCTTGTCAGTGGCCTGAAGTACCCTCTAGCAATTAAACCTCTGGCTTATTTATATAGTATTTGGAAATCCCTCAGACGAAAAGTGCTGTAGAAGTACAAAATATTATTTTTTTCATCCCACAAGATCTATAGAGTAGCTACACAGTTGCTCAATACATACTTTTACTAAACATTTATTTCTTGGACACATTTTCAAGTCAGTCTCAAGAAATTCCTAGTGTTTTAGAGCACTCTGGTGCCATATATTGAAGGTCATGTGACCAAATCATATGAACTGTGCAGGAAAGTTCCTTTGCAACGCATCTTTCATATGGGGGGCATATGACCCCATCTTTGAAAATACAAAAATGCTCTCATGATCCATCCGCCAAAGCATAGTCCAAAATGTGACGTTTCTGCATTAGTTAAGGGCTAGAATTGATCTACTTTTATAGTCAATAAGGAAAGTTTAAACAATATGAGCAAAGTAAGCTCTGCATTTTGAGCCCAGTAGCAAAACCTGATGGATTTGTGAGAACTGCTGATCAGAGCTGAATTTTTCCTGGCCAATTCCCAGTCTAGTGAATTATTTCTTACCTGCTGTGCAGAGCTAATGTTATTTAGAAGCCCAGGATTCTACAAATGTCACTGCATTTCCTCCTCCTTTGTTAATAATCTAAATAAAACTTTGTAATTGCTTGATGAGATGTTTCTCTCTTTCTATTCTTTTTCTTTCTCAGCTTGTGCTCTATAATGGCGGTAAATGAAGTCCACTATTTAGATTCTTCTTTGATTTATCCTTGATTTATATGGTAAATAGAAAGCAGCTGTCTATTTAAGCATCTAATTCTTGAAACCCTTAGGCCCCTCAAGCATCATCTGGAAATAATGTAGCTTGTAAAACAAAGCTAAGAAGAAAAAGCAATGTTTGTTTTATGTGGGTTGAATGACTTCAGTTGGGGTCCTTCTAATTCGGCCATTATGAGGGTTATTAAAAAGCAGTATTACAAAAGTGGTTTCAACAAAAAGAATTTTTTGTAACTTCTATCTTGTTATTACAGTTGATTATAGTCAATGCTGAAAGTACTTTATTAATAGTCCTTCATTTCAGTTCCGCCAACTGAGAACCAAAGGATCTGTAATCTTGCTCTCTTATATATGGGTGGATGTTAAATGGTTCCCTTATTTCATTTAATTCCTTAAAACAAATAGTGTGTTAGAAGTCAAATCTACATATTTGTCTTGTATGTCTTGGGATCTGAAAAGTCTAGCTGAAGGAAGGTCTCTGAACAGAAATATTATTAACTATCTTTTAAACAAGGTGAAACAACATAGAAAGCTACATGTTTTATTCAAGATTTAATGACATTGCTGTTGATAAAAAATGACTGTACATAAGAATTAGACAAGCTTTATCTTCAGTATGTGTGATTTAATCTCAGTTTTGTTAAACTGCTGAAGCAAAGTTAATGCTCTATAATATAAATTATTTCATCCTACCATGCCACCATATCTCCTGTCCTGTCCTTATCCTTTAGGAATACATTACTGTGAATACAGAATACATCAGGCTTGCGTCTGATGAAGTGGGCATTCACCCACGAAAGCTTATGCTCCAATACTTCTGTTAGTCTTAAAGGTGCCACAGGACCCTCTGTTGCTTATTTCTGTGATGTTCTCTCAGCTGTGATCTCTTTAGACAATCACTTGATCTGTTAGCTGAGATCACCAACAGTAATACCAATTGAGGTGGTGGTTTTTGTGACCTGGACAAATGAGGAGTTAATCTGTCTACCAAACTGCCAACATATGAGAATTTCAGTCACTCAATCTGCACAATGTAAAAACTGTAACTAAGAGATCGTAATGTTTTGGCACCGTGTAAAGTCTTATATGCTTACATAGGTACAACCTATAGGCAGCAGCTGCACCTAACAAAAGTTTGGTTATAGAGCTATATTAAGGTCGAACAGACTTTACTTGTGTTATTCTCAGCATCTAAAGAAGAACTGCATCACAATTGGCAATAAGCATTTCTTGCAAAGGTGAGCTGCCCATCATTAAATGAATAGATTGATT